AAATTTTGAGTAGTGTAAGATTTTACTTAATGATAGTGATGAAATCACTATCATCCATCATTTCTTTTTTTGATTGATTGAAACTAATAGATGTTGCAAATCAAAAAAGGAAATAACATATTCTTACTCGCATTGTCAACTATAGATGCCTAGTTAAGGATGAGAGAGATGATCACTCGCTCCAATCGGTGAAACAATGTTCTTCCGAAACCCGTAAATTACATAAGCTAATTTAGTGATACCAACTCTAAAATCACCTTCTTTTAAAAGCCCGAGTAAGAACTCCGAACCAACAAACTCTCATAAATTTCTTGATTTACCTTAATGTGTTGTTCAATCCTCTAAATTCCTTTATGTCCCTCGTTTTTCTTATTTTTAATTCTCTTTGCCTTTTTTTCCTTTTCTCTTTTAACAAATCTCATAGTTCCTTTCTCTTCTTTTTGCTGAATTCCCCTTCACTCTCCCTCTCTATTTTTTTTTCTTTCAATTGCTCTTACTACCCTTTTTCAATTTCCTCTCGAATTCATTTGAAATTTCACATGGTTCCCTTTTCTCTCCGAAATTTCCTCTTCCAATTCCTTTGAAATTTCCTGCAGCTTCCCTCTTTCTTGGGATCGTTTCCAAAACTCCCCGTACAATCGAACAAACTCTCTAGTTTGTTGTCGGTTTGGTTCTATATGAATAGAATCAAAACAATTGTGTTTTATTTCGGTGCACTATGTTTTGCTCGTTTTTATTTTTTTGTTATGTGGCCCGATGCATGTGCAAGAGCCACGAGTCGCAAAAGCTATAGGCGAGTCATGATAGAGTTGGGAGGATTCGAACGACGTGCCATTCAAATTGATTTCGAATTGGTCATGTCGTTCGTGTTTCAAATCAAATTAGGTCCATGTAAGTTTAATTTTCTTTCAATTGTACCATCCGGGCAAGTCATTGTAGTCTCTATACTTTTAATTTTTTCAATTGGGTTCCCGTACCTTGTAATTTCAACTCTAGGATTTCATTTTTTTTAATTGTATCCTTAATTGTTTCAATTTCAATTTTGATTTTTATTCAATCATATCCCTAATCAATCTTGTAACATATATATATATATATATATATATATATATATATATATATATATACACACCTCTTCTTTTCTTTTTTGGTAGTAAATACCAAAATTAAAGAATAAATAAAATAAAAATAAGATAAAATAAAATAAATGGAATGAAATTGGAGGAAATATATAACCCAAAATTTGGATTATAACAAATTGCACGATCAGTAAAACAACCTCAAGGCTTTGAGGATCGTTCATGACCTGATTTTGCATGCAAATTTCCAAGTCCTTTTGTGGACTTAAACAAGCTCCACGAGTTGGATTCCAGCGACTATCTCAATTTTTAAATAATATCGGTTTTTTTTTTTATTCCAAGACTGATACATCTTTGTTCATTTATGCATATAAAGCTATAAGGATTTATATGTTGGTTAGCATTCAATCACTAATATGATTCGGACTATTGGAAAAGAGTTTGTTATCTGGGACTTGGGCTGTCTTCATTGTTTTCTTGGCATAGAATTGCATCGTACCTCTGAGAGTGTTTTCAATATTAGAGATACTTGACATAACTTTTATCTCGGGTTAATATGATTGATTGCTCCTCTAGCCAACTCTTTTGGTCTTTTTATCCTCCAACGTCCAAGAAGCAAGGTTCTTTTCCAGAGGATCCTCACGAATATAGAAGCAGTGTGTATGCTTTGCGATATGCAACTTTAACAATACTAGACATTGCTTTTCTAGTCAATAAACTATGTTAGCTTCTTCAAACACCAATGGATCCTTATTGGAAAGCAGTGAAACGTTTATTGCGACATGTTAATCGCGCTCATTCTTTTGGTTGACAATTCTCTCCAAGCTCCTCCACTTAAATTCAAGCTTTATCTAATGCTGATTGAGATGGGTGTCCACATGATCGAAAATCTACGAGTATATTCGCTATTTACCTAGGTAATGGTATCGTGTTCTTCTAGGAAATAATTCACAATTTCTCATTCGTCAACTGGATCTGTGTATAGGGCTCTAGCAAATAGCATTGCTATGATAGTTTGGTTGCAGTTTTCATTACAGGAATTGGTCATTCAATCCACTTTATCTTCAGTTTTGTGGTGTGACAATGTTAATGTCACTTATTTTTCTAACAACTAATATCTCATGCTCCCACTAAATATAGTGAAATTGATTTTCTTTTTGGAGGGGGCTTGGAGTAGAAACAAAAGCTTCGAGTTAAGTGTATCTCTTATAAATATCAATTGACAAATACTATAACAAAGCCATATTAAGGACAAGTTTGAATTTTTCAGAGCCAAACTCAAGCTTCTTCCAAAAAAAAAACTTGGTTTGAAGGGGATGTTTGGACAATATTTATAGTTTAGCATATATGTGTGTGTGAATCACAATTTGTATAACTACAATGATTGTTGTAACTATATAATAGTCTTTAATGTAACTGTAATAGTTGTTGTAACTATACAACAGTCTTTATATAATTAAAGTAGAATTTAGACTTATCAGTGGGAGGGACTAAAAATTATCCTGAACTAGAAGTTTTTCTTTTTTATATTTTTCTTTTATATCCTTTACAAGTGTCAAAAGTTGATCGACGTGAATGAGCAAGTTGCACTAAGTATTGACCTAAATTATGACGACATAGTAGCAAATCTCCAAGTTCCACACCAGCTCTTTCACTGTTGGATTGCTAAAATTTTCCGAACTCGTAAGTTGTGTGGACACAAGGAAGGGAAACATGCTTTCCATTACCTTGTTCGGGATTGGCATCTCATAACTTCAACTGTACACGAATGCCCCTTCCCATAGTAGAAACCTGATATTTTCAGTGTGGAGTAGCTGATCCTGTGGCCAGCCATACAATAAAGCACGCGGATCGTAAAGGGCTTAATTTTGTCATGTCGCCAGTGGCTAATAATCGATGGCCAACTACGTGAAGTTAGAGAGTAGTAGACTTCAGTATGAGAGGAGTTAATTCGAAAGGCATTGTATAGATGCAAGTTGACCTTAAGCTTAATCCTATTGATACACAGACAACAGCATGCAAGTAGCAGAAAGAGACAGGAGGGCTTTAATTTTGACAAGCTAGTCCTTGTTGGCCTAGTATTGTTTGATTTCATTCTCACAAAGGACAACGAGCATTGCTTCTCAATAGAAACAAAGCATGGCCATGACTGAACCTCCACTATATGGATGGAATTTGAATTACGCTGGATCGGACTACTCTCAAGCATTGAACCAAAATAGAAAAGACACTTATCCCACATGCTGATTATCGATGAAAAAGCACTGTCCAAACTCAAAATGACCAGAGAAGCCCATCCTTCAATGCACACACCACTCCTTGGCTTTGTGTAGTGGGCAAGAACAGGATGAGATGAGAAACCTTCATTCTGCGATGAAAAAGTTGTGTCGATTGGACCCTTCAACCACCAATTTAAGCACTTACCGACTTATTGGAGGGAGTTCTTCCAATAATACAGTTCCATGGACAACCCCACATTCTACGATGCAAATAGACTCGTTGCATAAAAGCTTATGATATTGAAATCTTGTTCTAAAAAAATGGATCACTCAGCTTCCAATTCCTTGCATAGAATTAATCCCATTAAACTTTGTTTATTGCTGTTGCGTTGATATATTTATCTGCAAAAACATTATTAATTTTTGCACAATCTTCATGTTTTTTATCATTGTGCTGCAAATACAGTTGACATTTATTTAAATGCATTTTGCAGCAATATCATGGCTTACGCACCAATTTGCATAAAAGGAAACTCCAACTTCATACGATTGTAAGCTTTACAAAGTTGACTTGAAAAGTTTTATCCTTCCCTCTCCAAGTTGAGACTGAGCTACTATTGAGTCAAATCACCATTGCCAGCACACTTCAAAATCTCACTCGTCGATACTTACGTGGAAAGCGTAGGATTTGTTGGGTATTCCCATTTGCCGGGTACCATGATGTTCCCTCCTGTGATTGGGAGGCGGATGAACCGAACGATTACGACACAACCAGGTTGCCACTATCAACTTTGCCATTGGTAACATAATTGAAACTAGAGGGGAGTAATCAAGAAAAAAAATCATTATTTCACAAAGTTGATGGCATTTAGGATCAATCCACTAGGTCACTTACTAATTATTTAGCGATTTAACATGTTTCGTCGTGAACCCGTCTTGTTTCCTCAACGTTCTAATTCCCCCTTTAGTTTTTCCTAAAAAATTAAAAAAAAATTGACCAACTGTCATCCGTCCACCTAACTTAAGCCAATTATCGTATTAAATACTCATTTGAAATTTGAATAATTTTGCCATCTGCGTTGGCTTGGACTGTCATTGGTTCATTTTACTGGGGGAAAATATCTGCAGATAGCGATAATTTATATAACACGTCAGTAGGCCAGCTCAGCACATATTTGGTGAGGAATGGGAATATGAATAAAAACTTTGGATTTCACGTACCTATATTAATGATTCAGTAACATTATTGAGCAATGAAAAAATATAAATCCAGTAAAAAGAAACTGGTTTGCATCGTGGAGTGTAAAATTAAGTGCAAAATTTACAAGTGAGAAGAGAAAGAAACAGAGAGAACAGAGGTCTACATGAACAGAGGAAAGGAGATTCAGTACATATACTGTCGTAAATATATTTACTTTTTTTCATGCACATAAAAAAGTGAAAGAATAAGCAGAAGACCAGCTGAGCTCCAAATCTACCTACACCCAAAAGCTACAAGCTGGTCCCTCAAAACCTCTCACTCTAAAATAACCGAAAAAGAAGGTTAAAAAAACGGAAATAGAACCCAGAAACAGGGTTGATGATACTGTATAGAGAAGGAAATTCCGGGGACGTATCTGCAAACATCCCTCTGGTAAAATCTCCTCTCTCTAATCTGCTAACAAAACACTAGATACAAGACACCAGGCCATACCATCTCCAACTAGGCCTGCTTCTCCAAATCCTTGGCACCAATAAATGTGCCATGAAAACCATAAGGAACTCTAGATGGAAGCTTAACTGTGGCTTCCAACTTCAAATTCATTGCATTCACAATTTGTAGCTCCGATTTCCACTCCTTCTCGTCATGCACGAAAGCTAAAATGTACCCATCATCTTCCCTCTCTGAATTGGGGTCTCGAGGAAGAAACAAAGGCTCTCCGCCAAATTTCTGGTCTCCATAAATGTACTTGTATACCTCCCCAGTTGAGAGGTCTACTTTAGCAAAACCTGAAACTTTAGGCCATGGCTCAGCGAGTGCTAAGTAAGCGAACTGGGTCTTTCGACCGAGCAAGTTTCGGTTCACCATTCCAGCTTCTAAATTGACCTGATCAGCTTCAGACATGATTGGTCGGCGAGTTGACTTGCCCGTCTTCAAATTGAGCCTAATTTCTGATAACACACTTTCCAAACTCTCATCACATTCATTGAAAATGGAGTCTGGTGGGGTCATACATGATCCAATCACAACAACCTCATCTGTCTCAGGCTCCTCCCAAGCATTCCAAAGATGGAAACAGAAGCAGTCAGGTGCTTCAATCCACCTCATATTGGAGGCATTAGTGGCATTCTTGTCCAAAATCCCAAACCTTGCCATCTTTTTCTTGTCATAAATCACCGGAGACCCTCCCCGAATCATTTCGGGCAATTTGAACACAACTTGCTGATCAGGAACCACAACAAACCTCTCTGTGATTGCAAAATCATGCATCATAGTAGGTTGGTCAAGTGGGATTTCAACATCAGGTGACTTTTTACCATCTGGGGAGAATCTGAAGTACTTGAGGTAAGGCTTTTGAACAACATCATAACTGAGTGCAAACAATTCACCTGAAACTGGATCAACTTTTGGATGAGCAATCATTGTGGTCTTAAGCTGGCCATCAAAATCATAACGACCAACTGTCTTAAGGTCACCAGAGGGCAGCACACAAACATGGTAAGGCAAATCATCTTCAGACATTGCCAGCAAGTGACCATCAAAGTAAACAAGACCAGCGTTTGCAACACCAGTGCCATGGCTAGGATCAACAATACCAAAAGCTCCACGGGCATAAAAAAGCATGAGCCTAGCTATGCCTGAATGACCATGTAGCTCACCTATGGCTTTTGGGAATAAAGGACGTCCCAATTCACGTTCTTGAACAAGCCTATTAGTCTCAGTGAACCTGCTAGAATAGCTGACAGAGCCCTCGTTGAATTGAACAGCATGAACCATGCCATCACCATCGAAGAAATGGTGACCAGCTACTGGCTCATGAAGTGGATTGGCTCCGTTTCTTAGATAAACACCCTGAATGCTATCTGGGATTTTTCCGGTGACCGGTAAAGTGTGAACGACAGGTTGTTCCGGTACCGGAGCGAAGTTGCCAGAGATTTGTACTCTGGGGTCAGCTGTTTTGGGCAAAGGGTGTTGACGTTCATGTGATACTAAAGCATTTTCAACAGCATCTAAAGCCATAGATGCTGCTTTTTGTAAGAAATTCCATTGCTTTTGCTGTTGTTCTTGGGGCACAACCACAACAGGAGAGGGACTGTTTTGTTTTGGGTGTCTGGTGGTGGGATTGGAAATAGTAGTAGATGGTGTGTATGTAGTGGATTGTTTCGGGAAATGGAGAAGGGAAGGAGTTTGGAGAGAGCAGTTGATGTTGGGCTTCCTACCAGGCCTGTTTAAAGAAGCTGATGAGCCCAAGGTTGTAGTTGCGGCTGCTGCTGCTGTTGCTGTCGAAACCATGCTGTCTCTCTATTACGGCTAAGCTGTGATTGGTGCAGGGAGAAGAGTACCTAGTTTTGTTTGGTGCGCTGCTTTGTTGAGATGTGAGAGCTATTATCTTGTTTGCTTTTGGTTCGAAGAAACAAGGAGAAGAAGTGGTGTGATTCGAGAGTAGGAAGAGTGAGTGATCCGATGAGAGAGCGAAGGGAGAGGAGGGGTATATATAGAGAGAGAGGAGAGGGAAGGAGGTCCACCTCAAACTTGTTAGAGAACTCCACGTGTTATAGAGGGTAAGAGAAGAGAGAGCTCAGAGTGAGGGATTGACGAAGCGATGATAAAAACGAGGTGTGGGGGTTGCGGGACATAGCTGCTTAAGACTTTGACACGACCACCCTGCTTTCACTCTCTTTCCCTATTATTAAATTCCTTGTTATTTACGTGTATTTGCATAATGTCATGGTACTATACATTGTTTTTTATATTTTTAAATTATATATTATTTTTTTATATATTATAGTATTAGCTACTAATAATAACAACCAAACGAAAGAGAGAGATGAAGAGAAAAAGGGCTCTTTAATTTTAGATTAATCAGCTACACATGACAGAATAAAAAACAAACACAGTAACCATATGGTCAATCCAAATGAAAGAAAGAGGATAAACAAAAAATGAATATCCTTTTCCGTATTAGTGCATTATGGCAGAAGGGTATTATTATACTATTTGATGGAGGGAGGGTAGCTAATGGGCAATGGGATGTTAGGATTGGGGCATTGGTGGGGAGGTACGTTAATGGCGTATTGGTCCCTTTGAACACGTCTAATCCCGCGTTCTTGCCTCTTACAAGAGTAACCTGCCTCTACACGTGGCCTTTTCTCTTTCTTTGTTGTGCCTTTACAATGAAAATCTAGGTCACCTTTCACATACATACCCCACACGCCTCGCCTCCCAATCCCAATTCCAGTTTGTATCTATGTGATCTTTATTTTCCACTGTATAAATATATTCCCTATAGTGATCGCTCTGCGTTTCTTTCATCCCAATTCCCACATTATTTGCAATTACAAAATAAGTGCAAAATTTAATCCATTGCTACAAATAAGTTCCACTTATTGTCATCTATTTTAACCAAAAGTACTTGACAGCAACACATATTTACACGCTTTCCTACCTCAGACCTCTGGAATTGGTTCCATTTCTTCCTAAACTTAAGTCTATTTTTATTTCAATCAAACAATATCTATCAAGATGGCGACGACGCATATAGATTTGATTCTTTCTATCAGTCACTCTTATATGTTTTGGATCTGAAATTAAAATTGTGGCAGAGAGAACAAATAACAGGAGCTTCTAGTTAGGGAACCAAAACCATCCTGCATTATCATGAGTTTTAAACACAATATTTTTGTTTTTAAATTAATCATTAGAAAGACACGCTTTTAAAGCATAACTAGAAAGATGCATCCTTTTTGCTGTAACTTCCAAAAGTATTAAATTCTGCATATTCATGTGTTCCTAATGTTGGAAAATGTTCACTGGGATGTGGGTTCCCAAAATTTCATGAAGATCCTCCTTAAATTTCAAATTTTAATATTCCTTTTTTTGTTTTTTTCCTCTCACAAGTGTAGTTTATTGCAATAAAATGGAGGAGGGTACTGAGTAACCATGAATTTCTAATTACAACAACGCAGTAATTTTCTAGGAAAGTGGGGATTCCCTAACTTTTGTAAAAGAAATTGGCTACATCCGTGGTCTAGAAACTGCCAGTGGGCCAAAGTCATGCTAAAACATTGAATATTAATTAATTAATTACGTGTAGGTAGAAGTTTGGTACGTTACACACCAAAATCTGTGGCAATAACTAAGTATAGGAATTCGTATTCCTAACCCATGTGAGATACCTATCCTGAAAAATACTGTAATGATTAGATACCCTATTTAATGGCACTGCCCCTCTGTTCTAAGGTAAATTTGTGTTAGCATATCTCCTCCAGAAAGATTTTATTTTTATTTTATTTTTTCCCTCATCTTCGCAACAAAATAATATTCAAACAGCTGTTTCTGTTACCATTATTAAATAATATTAATTCTTGCGTATGATGTTGTAGGTGCAGATTCCATTTTCATCGACTAATTAGACAAAGCTTTGCATAGTTTATTATTTTAGAGCATATACAACTTCCAATCGTGGTCTAACTGCCATATCCTCCATTCATGCTCTTTAATATGAAGAATAGGCTTATATTATTAGTGGGATTAGTCTCGTTAATGTCATGGATGACCCTAAGCCACTAAAAGAGCATAATATTTTATTCATTAATATAATGCTATGAAACATTAATGGATGAATTGATAGAGATGGTCTTCTTTGCCATATGCCGTCAGATCTCATCTTTTACATACGCAACTCCAACATTCTTATTAAGCTTCCTGACGTGTGTGTGGGCTACTGACTAGGACGACAAACTTGTGAATGATCAGTTCCCTGATTTTTTTAATATATAGTATTGGATAAAAAAAAATTAACTAATTCTACTATATTTAAATATTAGCAAGTTAATAAAGCAAAGACTGAGTTTAACTGCCTATAGTGCACCCTTCTTTCCGCAACTTTTAATTATTTCTTTTCTTTTTTTATCATCGGATTAATTACTTTAATTATTCTTTCAACTTTGATTTACGGCTTGTGTGCTTAATCAATTCCTCATTACTTAATTAGGTTTAACAATGTAAATCAATGACGTGTCAGTACGCATCAATTTTAATAAATAAAGTAAAACAATAGCAATGGCGTTGGCGTTGGCGTCCGTCGGCAGGTTTTTATTAATCAACCCAATGATGGATTATTGGATTTTATCCCACTAATACGGTAAAACCTTGACCTACATGTTTAAGGTGATGAATTCAGATAGACAGATCACATATGTGGTGTTTTCGCTTTCTGTTTTGTGCTTTGTACGAGTGTTCCATTTTCGCGACCTTTTCGATTCATGATTCCCAATATTGCTAGGCCTAGCTAGCTCAATAGTACGTAGTACAATATCCGGGACATGTCAAAGCTTTTGTAATATATATATATAGAGAGAGAGAGCGCTTTGACATGTCCTCTCTCTCTCTCTCTCTGTAGAGAGAGAGAGAGAGAGAGAGAGAGAGAGAAGCTTGGCCATTAAACCGACCCACTTGTTTGTGATAAAATTATTCTACGTTTCAACTGTGGATACATTACGAACGTACAAGTGGGTGCATGTCAATCGTGGCTCATCACTTCACATAATTGTTACTGCCACTTCGTCGACTTTTCAACTTCAAATCCATATATCTGGACAGATCATATCACAACATGGACTAGATCTGTTTGCTCTGATTTTATTCAAAATTTTCTTATTTAATTAACTTTTTCATATACTTCATTTCTTGTTTATGCCTGTTTAGAATAATTGAAGCATGAAATATGTCGCATTGATCTCTGCAGATTATATATATAAATTACATTTCCCTTCCCTTGCATTGCATAAATAATAGAGGTTGGTTTAGCCATAATTAGCGGATAAATAAATTACTAATATGATTAGATAGATTATGGATGCCCGTGATCCATTAGAAGTGGAAAATTCACGTGATTATTGCTTTAAAACGAACATCATTTATCAGGCAGCCGACATGTATGGGGTCTTGCACATTATGATCAGGAATTCATCAGGCTTGACATGTTTGATTAATTATAAGTCATATAATTTGCTACAATTAAGACGGCACATGAAATGCTTTTTCTTTGAGAATTTGAATTTTCATATGTAGAGAGGCAAAGCCATATATGTATATATATGATCATGGATTGAATTGATGATACATCCCTACATCCCTTGTCAAATTAACCTTTTTTTCCCAAAGAAAAAGAAAAAACTTGTAGTTAACAACATTAATACTTGAAATAATGTCCTCGTTTTCAATCCACCAAATTGCATTGAGATTTAACCTAGGCCTTTATATATTTGTGGAGCATACATCTTTGGCGGTTGAAACTAATGAAGAATTTTTAAAGGATCCATATATTTTAAGTTGGATACTGATTAGGCTACTAAGACTGTATGTTAAATTCAAAATCTAAGTAAATACAACATGATAATCTTCGGCCACGAGTGCTAATCACTATCGTAGGGTCCCCGCACATGTAACACGTGCAAGGGACCACCTCATTTGGCACCCTATGTGTGTAAGGTAGTGATTGATCGACGTATATGCACGTGCTGCCACATGCCTAGTTTTGTTATTTTGCCTTCCAACATCGAACCTGATCAATTTTTTTTTAAAAAAAAAAAAAAAAGGCAAAGAATTTATAGAAGAAATATCGGTGGTATTTGTTTCTCTTCCCTTTAATTAGCTTGTTAATATTGTTAACCTCAAATGTAATCAAAAAAATTTTAATTTCTTGGTCAATGGAAAAAGGAAAACGAGGCTATTGTTTATCAATCCTAGGAGTTTATTTCTCTCATTGAAGTATTTTATAGGCAATGAAGACTTAGAAGCTAAGATTAGGCAAATCTAAATTAAGTTAATTAAATAGCAATGCGTGGTGGTTGGGATATGAATCTTGAAATATTCTTTAAACTCCTTTCTTTCTTTCTTTCTTTTTTCCTTTTTCTTTCTTTTGATTTTTGTATGGTTTGAACATGATGAACATCATCTTTGACGATGAAATATTGATTGCAAAATGTTCTCTATTCATAATCTACCATCATCATGTGCCCATAAGAAACAAAACTTATTAGGAGACACAGGAACATACACTCCTAACATATATACATACATAGCCGCCAAAATCTAAAAAAAGCAACTTCTATTTTCTTTTCTCAGTTAGTTATATAATTGAGGTTCTTTATGCAAGTTGCCACTTCTCTGTCTAGCTATCCCTAGAAATCTACTATTTTTTCATATTAGATAGCATGGAGGGTTAGTGTCTCTGGTGGTTATGGACGAGTTATCCTAAAAATAATTGAATTGTTACCATTTTGTTGACCTCGTAGGGCCAACCGACTTTACCTGAAAAAAACTGACTAACTGCCAAGACCAACGAGCCCGGCAGGACCCAATTTTCGTAATAACTATTAGGACTAATCTATCAACTAATGCCGTTTCCTTTGACTACAAGGAACGTTAATCTCTCCATTAATTGCCGCTTCTTTTGCCAACATGGAAGGCTACAAGATTCAAGAAAAACAATGGGTTCATGCCTGCTAGTTCTGTCTTGGGATTCCTTCAGTGCCAAATATGTGCATTGCATAACTCTCATATACATATAGAGAGAAGATTCAATGACTTTGTAAAGATAAAATATTAATGATGAACGTAGCAGAACATTCAACCTTATTCTTGAAAATGTGTCAACTACCGCATGCTCATAGAACTGGGAGACAAAGCAGGATAAGCTTCTCGTGTGAGAGAGAGATCAGGTGACAAGAAATGGTCTATCTCCGTGGCCCATTTGAAAGGATCGTACTGGGGATCAGGCACATGGAGGCACAATAAAAGGAGTAGCAAATGCGAGGTGATTGGATATCTGAAACGAAGAGTGGGGGTCTCTTTCTCCCTATACGAAAAGATTATAACTATTTGTTGACAGTACTAGATAATGAGATGACAAAGGGTGGTCTCACTCATTAGGCTTGTCGCAAAATACAAGCACGAATTTGTCCCAAGTTTCGGTCAGTAGCAGATTAAAATACAAACCAATATTCTAATTGCTAGCTAGCTAGCTAGCCTCGCAATTGAACTGCTTTGCTTCACTTGTATTAAAATCGTCACCCTTCCAATCCCGGCCCATTGCATGATTCTAACTATTCTTCTTGTTTCCAAACACACGCACACACAAATTTTTTATTTTTTATTTTTAAAAAAACTATAAGATCCAAAGGAAGAAGAGAGTCACTTGACTACGTCAATGAAGTTAATATCGACCCATGGATCGCAATTGGGTGGTCTACGTGCCATCAATAGCCTATATGTGATTGCCACATGTATCTGTGCATAAGTCAGAAAGCAAAAATATTCATGATGATAATTCAACATGATTGCATGATAAAACCAAAAAAAAAAAAAAAAAAAAAAAAAAACACAAAAACATAGTGCCAACTTGTTTATGCGTAAGGTTGGTACTCGATCTAGAACGTTACCAAGTCAACCCTGCCAGGAATTTCACTTACGTGGCAAGCTGTCGGAGGTATGACACTTGGACCTTCACTCAGTTCGTCCACCCATCTCACTTACCTAGCCAGGCGATACCTAACTTTTGAGTACTCTACTTCCCTTTTTCTTGATTGCAGTTGTTATGTAGCATGAACCTATTTTGATGTTCTGATTGATATTAACAAAGCAAAAGAGAGACAAAGAGATTTGTATGCCGGTTCGTTTAGCTTGTAAGTCGGTGGCCAAACTTCTCAAGGAGTAACTTGTTCAAAGATACGTTCATATCTTGCATGGGAAGAAATTATTATCTAGGTCAAAATTAAATGGAGTTCCAATAAGTCCAACAAATAAAATAAAGTAAGAAACAAAAGAAAAAGAAAGACAAAGTCAACGAGTAATAAATCGGTGACGAACTGTGCATGCATTAGATAAAAATGTTGCTGTGTGTTTTAAATGTGTTTTGCTTCTTCTTTTTGTTCGGTATTTTGTATTTTGTATTTTGTATTTTTTTAGTTTGGATATGGGTTAGCTTCTTTTCACTTTGTCTTAACCAAAATGATATTTATTCCCATATAATTGGGGGCAATAGAAGAGAGGACGAGTGAAAGGGAGAAAAAGAATAAGGCATACGTTAAAATTGGACCTATCCAAAGGGCCAAATGGGCTTCCAGAAGTGGGTCCTGTGTGTGTCGAATGTTTGTCTGGGGGCCCACCTTCCATTCCTTGATTCGTAAGACTGTTCAGATTAGGAAGCCGTCCTGCCAATCGCCTTTCGGAGAATTTGATTAGCGTGGACCTGGGACATGCTTTAGAAAGTATCAAATCAAATCTGCTCAGATGGTCAGGGCCATTTTGTTAGCCTTGTGTGTCGCGGCAAATGAATTATTCAGTTTGAAGAAAACATCACTGCCCCTCTTTCTACTTTTCCAAACAGCTTCTCAATTTCAGTTTTCTCACTTTCAACCTTTTCCCCGTTTTCTCGAATCCCTTGCTTTGACAAAAGAATAAAAAACATATTTCTTTGTTTTTAATAAGAAAAGCATTCTCGAATCAAGTAAGTTTTCATGCATTAAAATTTGAGTTCTTTCCAAAAAAATAAAAATTATTCAAAAATCAGTATATTACAAAATAATTATTATTGTTCTCATAATTCTTTTTCAAGAAATTTAGCAATACCCTTAGGGCAGTGGAGTCTTGAAACCGTAAATAGATGCCCAAGGGGGGCAAGGGGCCTGTTATCTTGGTAGAAATGATTCTATCTATGGAGCACCAATTATGCACTGCTTCCAGACTTGACAATGCAATAGAGGGTCGTGTCAAATCATGGCATGTGTTGAAACTGAAAGGGGAACAGCTAGTTTGGTTGGATAAATAATTCTACTTTGACACTCCAAAACTACACCCTAGGACGTGGCAAGTGCCCTTGCACAGTGATTTTTGTTGTTCCCCTTTTCCAGTCTGCCACAGAGATCAACGATGGAAAATGAGAATAAATGCGAGAGACGTCCCCGGCCGATGCGTACAGGGAGGAGGCTCCACTCATTTTGAAACGTACAAAACCATTTGGAACTTCCAATTCTGTGATTCGGACACGTACAATATTATATTGAGACATATCACATGTGAGTCTAATTCCAAAACAAATAAAAATGCAAAGAGTGAAATATCTTTATATATATTCATGATGTAATAATGCAGATTTTTTTTTAATGAAATATGGTGTTCATAGATCAATTTTTGATTTAACAAATAAAATCAAAATTAAATATTAAATACATTGAATCATGAAAACAACAACAAACTTGCCAATGCATATATCCTAGCGTGTTATTCATCTTAATATAGTTCTAATTTAGGTGGATTAAAAAAAAAAACTATTTGCATCCGCATTCACGTGGAAAAGCAAAAATAGATCCATCAAGTTTGCTATCATAAGACAAACAATATACATCGATTTGATATTAACTATCATTTTTCATGGTTATGTAATATTTTTACATCAAATTTCAATTGTTAAATTGAATTCATTTTTTAAATCCGATAAAACACAAGTCGTTTATGTTAGGATTGGATGAGGGTTTTATTTTTTATTTATATATATATAATTGAGCCAAAGGATTGTATTTAATAATTAAGAAGGAAACAACACTTTAATAATTTTTAACCATCTCCATGAGTTATATCCCTTAAGTTAATTAACATATTTTCTGTATTACTATAGGTGCTAAAAGGGTCCACCCAAAAAGATTTTGGGTATACGGATCACGTTTTTCTTCTTTTTTCTTTAATTAATATAATCCCTAAAAACTTTCACAATGAAACATTATCAGAAATATGATGAACACATGTGCCTAGGAATATCCTAAAATTGATTCCATTTTAATCAAGAAACACAAGGAGGTCTGGCGACTTCTGCTTCGGACATTTTCACTATTAAAACAGACAAATTAGCATGATTTCTTTTTTATATCCTTCTACTTTAAGGGCAATCTCTGCCTACAGTGCTCGAAGACCAACGGTTCTTAAAGAAGAAGAAGAAAAAAAAAAAAATTCTTATCCCAATCTTCCAAACACCTGTGTTGTACTATATTTTCAAAAAAAAAAAAAAAAAAATTGTTCTTATCCCATGCTTCCGAACACCTGTGTTGTACTATATTTTCTGACGGAAGCAACAAGGACAATTAGGATAATTTCAAAACCAAGATTGTGTTTATCCCGGAAAAATCAAATTTCAAGAAATTTTTTTTTTGTATTTAGGAAAAAAATCAATAAAAAATAATAAAGTATTTTTGAAAATATGTTTTTTCAGTTTCAAAAGAAAAAAATATTTTTCTTCTCACGAGTTGTCTCGCTCTCGCGTTACTTACCACTCTCTTCATATATTTTAACAATTTTTTTCTCTATCTTCTTTTTATTTAAAATATATCATATTAATTTTTAATTATTCCTTATCAATTATTATTAATTATTTAATTATTTTCTGTATTTTTACTAATATTTGATTTTTTGATTTATAAATACATTAAATATTCTTAAAAATCATTTTTATACTTTAAAATTATTTTTATAATAAATATTTCAATAATTTATCTATATTTTTTTACTATTAACTCAAACATCACCTAAACTATACTTAAATGATTGAAAATGATTATTCCAATACTATAATTTTTTGTAAAAAAAATTAAAATTAATTAATTCATCAATAAATACATTATTTTTGTAACACTATTCATTTGTAATTAAATCAATAATTTATAATTTTAATCAATTGTAAAAAAATTTTGGTAATTGTAGTGAATAATTAGTTATAAATTATTTCAACATTAATCTTTTGAGACCGAGTGTATAATTATTTATAAATGATAACTAATAATTTATAAAACTATGTTTCGGACTAAATTATCAGTTTAATTTTTTTAAAAAAAAATTCTTAATTGAGTTACCAAAATAACAATGCTAGGATTACTTAAAATCATTGTTTACTAAATGTGAATATTGACTTGATTTTGTCTCAAGTAATTTTGATGAATTCGTTTAATGGTTAAAAAAGTATATTTTATTTTTGAATTAAAATTTTAGAGTTAGTATTTATGAAATTTTATTAAATTTTTCTAAATGTATCTTATGTTGTGAAATTATGAATATGTTTTTTTGAGGTTTTCTCAAAACTTTTTGATATAACAATTACATATGTTTTTGTATTTTAATTTTCTATATCAAACAAAAGTCGAAATATATTTTTCAGTAGTTTTTTCATATAATTTTCAAACGGTAAAAAATAAGTTTTTGAAAAACAATTTCTTAGAAAATAGCTTCCTCATGAATTGATTTTCCTATGAAACTTGTTTGCTCCCAAACAAACACAGACCTAAATAGAGAAAACTCTCAAGTTATGTCTAACGGTCAACAATTTTTTTTATTTAATATTTTAAATTTGAATTTTGAGATTAATATTTAGAAAGATATATTTTCTTGAATGTCTTTTATCCATGTTTAAACGTATCTTTAACATGGTTTAAAGAGAATAATTAGTTTTTATTAATGTATAAATTAACTTGAAAATATTTATATATCTTTAAAAAAAAATCCTAGATAGAGAAGACTTTACTACACCTATGAATTTATTATCGTCACCAAGTTGATTGAATTTTGGCCATGTGAAACTTTTCATTTTTCTATATTAATAACATATTATTCATTGAATAGTTAGTATAAATTGTTTAATATATAAAATTGAAAATGAACCATTTACCATAATATTTAAGTTTTTTTTTTTTTAAAAAAAAGAATTCAATCTCAACTATTAAGAGTTTTAAAAAAACGTAATGACCTAGTAAAAATCATAAAACCCAAGTCATTTGACAAAGCCAAAAGATATGCTTGCAAGTAATGAGAAATGTCAAAAAACATATCTCACATTAAATAGTTAAATATAAGATTTTTAATATATAAAGTTGAAAAAAAAAAGCAATTCACTATAAAGTTGAAGTCTTTTGAATGAAATTTAATTTCAACTATCTAATTCTTTATAATATTAAAAACTTAAAAAGGCTTAAGGGCTTAATAAAAATCTTGAAATTCAAACTACTTAACAAACTTAAAAAATAAACTCCAAAGTGAAAGGAGTTATACGAAATACCTACCATAAGATTGATGTTTTTGGAATAAAACTCAATTTTAATTATTTAACTATATCTCTTACAACTGATAACTCTTGTCCACTCCTTACATCATCATGAGATTTAAACTATAAGATATTTTGAAATTAAATTAAAATTCAACAAAATTTATTTAGTGCTGGAATTAATTGTCATCGATGATGGGCTAACTTAGCCAATTTTATACGAGGATACACATGTTAAACAAAAATAAACTTCAGATAAAATGCACTTTACAATTTAATCAAGAAAGGAATTATATCTGCCATCAACCACTTTTCTTGAAGAAAAAATAAAATAAAATAATAATCCCTGACATAGTTGAGGATACTTGAGGACTTGTATAGATGAATGAATCCTATCTTTAAATGATGAATCCAGTTTTATATATAATCGAATTCAATATTGGTTTTCGACGGAATACAACACTAACAGACACTACCTGAACCAATTGTTTAGAACATTTTACAATTGAATTGCGATATGAAATAAGATCCATATACATTATGGAAGTCATTGAAACGTGATTCAATTCTAATGATTCCGAAAATTTTATTTATTCCCATGAAAAGCCAGCCCTATGATTTTTATGATTTTGTTTTAGTGTTTGATCATCTGCGTGACACTTCAGATATGGGAAAGAAAGACAAAATTAGAAGTTAAAAACCAGCTAGCATGTTGACTCTCTTGAGATGACCATACAGCTGCATGTTGACTCTCTTGAGATGACCATACAGCTAGGTACGTACATGAGCACACGTGCGTACATGTAACTCTTGTAGGTTGTAGCACAAGATTGCGTACAATTCATTGCCAACAGCGAGTTGAAAATTCATTGCCAATGGCGGGTTGGTCCAACAATAATTGATAGGGTATTTATTTACGAGATTAAAAATTCAATTTTTATTTATTACGATCCATGGTGAATACCATATGTACGTTTTAATATACGATTGTAGTTATTTTCGGATAAATCCTAAATTATTCAACTTGAATATAAGTGTGTGGTAATGATCTTTTCAGATTATATATATAAATATAACGTTCTTTGTTGGAAAATGTAAAATCACTTACCTTCCTTTCTAATTTTTTTTTACTAAAATAAAATAAAAAGAAAAGAAAAAAGAAAAGAAGAAAAAGAATCTATTCATGTTCTTAATCACATAGCATTAGCACCTAGGAGAGAGGAAGGGGTTGAAAGAGAAGAAGAATAGGATGGTGGCAAACGCATATTATATTGGATTATGAACATAAGATACCTACCATTTTGAAAACTTTTTAGTAGTTTCCATTACGAAATGTAGGCAGTGGTTGTCGGATTATGCCGGTGCAATGAGTTCCTATTCACATTCATGTTGTTGAAAACAATTGGAGATAACGACCTTAATTGTTTTAATTAATTAATAGCTCGTGAAAACCACTAATTACTTCATAAAACTCGCCTTGATGATCTAAGACATTACCTGAGCAAATTAAGAATATTATTGAATTTATATCTTCCTTACCTAACATAAACTACTTCATCACGTACGCAACATATCCATAAACTAACAAACATCGTTTTGAGTTCCGCGGTCATAGATTACTCAACCTAGCTAGTAGACCTTATCTTCCTAATCTTAATTTTGAGTTTTATAACCTTACTTTTCCAATAAACTAATTAGTAATACGTAATGTTGATGATTAATTAAATGATACTTTGAAGGATTGTGCCAATGAAATATTTAATTAATTAATCTACAATATTCATAAAGGTTGTTAATTCAAGTTAAAAACTTCAAACTACCAAGTATATACGGACCCCAGCTTTTTAAAAAATAATACTATTTTTATATAATTGTCTTATCAAATTCATCCAATCAAAAAAAAAAAAAAAAATCAATTATTAAACCGAGATTTCGTTAATAATTTTTATAAATTTAATGGTAGATATTAATAAGTGAATTCTTCAATATAATTATAAAAGAATATAGCATTACCATTTTTTTAATGATTAATATAATTTCATTCTAAGTCGGTGGTTTATTTTTGTTTTCTTAATTAAAATTACAATACTTTAACGAGCAGCTTCCTTTGTGTGGCTGCTCCCCAATCGTGCATGTCTTTAACAAGAGCTTGTAGAAGGTTGTGGAAGGGTTATATTAATTAAATAAGTGGATGTGCTAATAATTGGGTACACAGTACATTCCTCTTTATTAATTTTAAATTTCTTCCTTCTGATACTGACATTTTTGTACCTAAACCCCTCTTAGTGCGATTTAGGCATAGCATTTGATCTAATTTCTTCTTCTTCTTTTTTTAATATGCCATGACAGAGGATCGAAGTTAGTTGATGATGAGACCCTTATCAATCTTGACTCCTTTATGATTAATCTCATAATCGCACAGTTCTCACTTGCCAACACAATGCAGTTTTCATGTACTAAGGGTATGTATATTGATGAGAGCGGGATCTGAATTGTATATATCCTCTAAAAAAAAAAAAAAAATTTTGATCGTTATGCTCATCTATGTTTTTATTCCTTTCTAATTGTTTGTGTTTTAATGATGGAAGGGATTAGTGACCCTTCAATTTAGGGTTATATGTAGAAAATCAGAATCTAAGTATTTGTAGGAGAAGAGAAACAAGAAGAAGAGGAATTAAGGCAATTCAGAGCTCAAAAATCCCTAAATTACTGCTGTTTGTTTCTATTACTCTGTCCAGTGAGAGACAGAGCTTTTATAATAATATTAATTGCTAATTAACACTCTCTATCAGCTAACTAATTTACTAACAACTTAAATTAACTAACCCTACTAACTAACTTTTATTTTCTATATAATCACAAACATACTACCCTATATATTTCAACATTATACAACCCTTCCTGTCGGCTTAATTTCAACATATTATTTTTTTAGGGATTTTTTAACCTCTATGCCGTTTATGAGATTAAAATTGTGTACAATTTTACTAGCTACAAATTATTCTTAATCACTTTTACACCAAAAAAAAACCAAAGACAAATTTTAAATTATCTCATTAATGGTTTTTTTTCTTATTAATTAAGTGTTGGTAAATAATGCTAAAATAATATAAAATTTAGCATCTTTCTCGTTTTTTTTTAATCGATGTCGTCACCTGATGTACATCTGAAATTAGCATCCTTATAGTAGTAAATAATTTTCTACTGCAGAGATCGAGATCAAATGGAAATTTCTATAGGTCCCTTTATAATGACAATGTAATTAATTGAAGTTGTAGGCGTTGAGAAATTAGGTTGATTTCTTTAATTCTCATAAAGTATTAATGTTATCGTAAAAAGGTTCTTGATATGGGTCGCAGCCAAAAACACGTGCAAAGAATTTGAGAAATCTAGAGGTGGTCTTTTTCGTATGCCAAGTTCGGATGAAATAAGCAAGTGCATGAATCTGCTGGAGTGAAATGGAGAAAGAGAAAAAAGGTAGATAGAAATAGATCTGGCAAAATAGAGAAAAGAGTGGATATTTGAAGGAAAATAATAATAATAATAATAATAATGAAAGGACAACATAGAAAAGGTTTGGTCTCCACATATTGTTTTAGTTATTTTCAATTTGACCTCGACATAGGCATAATAGAGGTTTTCTGATAAAATAATGGTGTAATGTATATGTAATTTTTTTTTAATTGAAGAGTATTGAATAGTCTATCTATCTTTCTATTTTCTAATAATAATAATAATAATAATGATGAGAGGTAAACAAACCTCTATCTCTCTCTCTCTTTTTAATATGGTGAAGTTTTGGCAATTTTTTTTTCTTTTACTTTGATTTAGTGTCTGTTAATGACATTGTGAATTCCATATCAACATGTTTGATTGGATCTAATAGATTATGTAATGCAATAGCTCATTATATTTTTATGTTTAGATGTGTAATTTTTAAAATTGTAGTGTAATGAACAATTATAATTATTACATTAAAAAAAAAACCCTATGTAATGAACCATTACATGACGAAGACTAACCTGATTGCAAAAAAAAACAAAAAAAACAAAAAGTAATCGTGAAACTGAACTGTACATTTTGTAAAGTACAAGGACCAAAAATTTTTCAAATAAGAACCAATTTGTAAATAAGAAACAATTTTAAAGACTAAAAATATTTTTTTGAAAATCATATGGATTAAAATAAAACTTTGTGAATGCCTCCATTACATTAGTAAAAGTTTTGCTACCACAGAGAAGAATGTAATGGACCATTCCTTTTCATTACATTTCTTTTCTTATATTACATATTTCATTACATCACTTCCAACAAAAGCTATATTATATTATTCTATACTTAACTAATACTTTCATAAAGTTACAAAGATAATATAATAAATGCTTTTTATCAAAACTTCTTTAGATCCATGCATGTAGACCAAAATAGTAACTTTGAGGGAATTTGAATTCAAACATCAAGATGTAAAAAAAGTAAAACACCTTTAATTTCTTTATTCTTGGGGTGAACATCAAAATAGATATTGTCTTGTTTGTGTAAAAGCTAATATAGAGATACTCATCTTAATCATATATATATATATATATATAACCAAACTAGTTACATATATTATTTGATCCATGCAGATAAATGTAAATTAAGTCTCCACTAACTATTCAAACTATTTTATTCATTTTGACTTATTTGATGTAATAATTAGGATCATGAAATTTTAATATACATGTCATGCACAAAAAGATTTTCTCAAGTAATCTCAACCCACTCGATCCTTAGTCAGTCTAGTCTAAGGTAGAAAAGGATTGGCAACAAGATCACCCATCTACTTTTCAGCCTCTCCTTCCATCAATAGAAGAGAAGCCGAAAGTTTTTGCTCTGCCTAATATTAGGCGTGCACCTTGCGTCAAATTATGAAAAAGGTACTTTTTTTAGATTTCCACATTATCAAAAATGCTTTGTAAAGACTCATAAAGTTCCCTAATAATTCTAACCCCATGCAAAATTGGTTCCCCAATTAACCCCCTTCATATCATATTAAAAGATTGCAAGAAAATCATTAAAAATACGAAGAATCTATCTATTTAGATTGCTTCTCTCAATTCTTTTTACCAAAAGGCAAGAAAAACCGTAGACTCTTTTCCAAATCAATTTTTTGGCCAGTCCAATCCAAGTCCAATCAAAACGTTTAAAGAGATACTCTTTCCACATCATGGCTGTCCATATCTTTTACCGATTTCCTTGATTGGAGGACTAATACTTTGCACTTCTAACAAATGTTAACAGTTCAACGGCCTAAAACTGCCGCCAAATATGCTAGCCGTTCAGTTCACGCCACGTCAATCTTAGATTCTCCGACAATAGTTCGACATATGGGAAAACGTGTCCGTATTTATTCATTTACCATATACTTTATGACGCGTGTCCAAGTCCGTGTTTTGACTCGTGCTGATTAGCAGGAGTGAGCCTAAACCGACTCCCCGTAGCGATTTCTATTAAACCGACCACGCTAAGAATTGTTCTTTCTTATTAACGTATGAGATCATGCCAAAACGCACATTTGCACAGTGAAAGACGTTGATGGGCTTTTTTGGATTTTCGTCTCCATTCTTCTTCTGTTTTGACCTTTACCCACCTTGGTTTGGTCCATTACGAGTCTTTATGGTTATATTTAGGATGGCATGATGTTCTTCCGTGGCACCAATTTTGGTCTTGGAAATTTCTGAGAAATGCACCTGGAGAAAAAAAGAAAAAAATAATAAAAAAATTGGTAAAGGTGAACCCAAATTCAAAATTGGGATTAAGTTTGGTCTACATTTTGGTCAATTTATTTCCAACGTATTTGCCTGGTCTCATAAGGAATACCAATTTCAAAAGCATGCGTAACTCAAAATTCCCTAAATCCATTTAATAATCTATTCTGAAATAATGCCTAATTCCTCGTTTTGAAAACAAATAATAAATGAGCAGTATTATCAATACTCTCTCTAATACTCTCTTTTAAACACTTGCTTAATAAAAATGTCTACGTTGAATAATAATAGATAAAAAATAACCGATATCCCATATTCTTAGGATGTTTTTAAATTATAATAAATCTCATATTATTTAAAAGTTTAAGATACTCTTGGATTTACTAATAAAAGGATATTGATTGTGTCCTTGGATTTTGAGATAAGTTGTTGGTATAATTTTTTATTCATTTCTTTTAAATTAGGTTCTTGTTGTTTGATTTAGTGTTTGATATTTAGATCTCGCTTCAATAATTGTGAACTTACATGTTGAAGTATGGTGAGTGATTTGAGAATTATTTTTTTAAGCATAGAGTTATGCATATAATTTGTAGCAATCTTCCGGATAGTAAAATTTAGAATCGCGAACTTGTAGGTGTATGGTTTAATTAATTATTTGATTATTATAGTTAAAAACTTAGTACTTTATTGTTATATATGATTATAAGATTTTGATTTGCTAGATTAGTGTCTAATATATATATAATTTAATTACTTTTCATTTCGTTTTTTTTGTGATATTAGCCAAAATGGGATTGGACAAAGCGAGAGCGATAGAGAGAGTAAATTATTCGCTTTCATATTTTATTCCCTTCTCTTTATAAAACAAGTAATTTTCTCCAATTGAGATATCTTTTAGTTTTTTCTTTGTTGTTTAAGAATTTGGAATTGGGAGAATTTAGAATCGGGAAGAGAGCTAGGAATTGCTTGAAAAATTATTTTTTTTAGAAGCGAGATAATAAATTTAAATAAATAAATAAAAGGTATTTTAGACTTTTAGATAATATGAGATTTATTGTAATTTAAAAACATCATAAGAATATGAGATATCGGTTATTTGCTCTCTATTATTATTCAAAGTGGACACTTTTATTGAGCAAGTGTTTAAAAGAGAGTGTTAGATAGAGTGTTACTAGCACTCCTCATAATAAAAAATACTTGAACATATGTAATTATCTCTTAGATTTTAATACCACTAGGAATCTTAATGGAAATTAATTACATATGAAATCATTTAATATTTATAGTCAATCACAATATTTTCTTTTTTTATTTATAATTTATTATAAACACTCAAAAATATTATCATATAAAATGGCATTTATTCAATTCAAATAATTACTAATTAACCGGTGTTCTAATTAAAAGCACTATAGTTAACTCTTCTCGTTTTATTAATTAATATTTGAAGGCTTTCCATAGTGTGTAGAGACTAATCAACAAAACGAATTTGCTCAAATTAATTTGAGTACACGCAAACTCTGTTTTGAATTTACTTTTGTGTGAGTCTTGGAACATGAATAAATTGGTATCCATGCATTTCAACATTCACTACTTTTGACCATATTTTTCATTTCGAATGAAAATCTTCCTTAGACGTTAAGTACCAATTCGGGAAATGGATTGATTTAGGAGACTAGCTAGTGAATTAAATGTCAAATTAGAATCCTTCACGTACACAAACTCCATCCATGTTACATGGAAGTTTTTGGACTATGAATTGGCATCCACTTAATTAAAATTCTGTTCGATCCAATGATTCAACGTTTAAAACGTTTTTATTGGTTTTAATTCTCGAATGGAAAGCCTTACTTGGAAAAGAAAGACAAAGCAAATCAAAATGGATTTGTTTGAGAGACTAATTAAAAGAATTCAACGTTGACATCTTACCCTCCAAAACGTGTTAGGGGAAAAGCTCTGCTCTAAAGCAAAATAAGCAAATCTAAGTTTTGGTGGAACTCCACTAGGCCGGTCAATGGATCCTTAATTATTTTGTCCATTCTTACACTCTTGCTTTATATCCAACCAATGTTGCTGCCAATTTTTTCTTCAAGAAAACACTCAGGAAAATTCGGAATCGAAGGTGCGACGTTTCTAACCTATTTTGGGCTCTTCAGGTTCTCCCCATTTGGTCCTTTTGTTTTTGACCTTTCCTATATTTTACTTCCATGCGAGCCGAATCTCACTGCATGAAAAGAGTTCTAATTTGGACCCGTTAAAATAAGTGATAAGGCCTTTAAAATTGCTAGATTAGCATTTTCGTAGAAAAAATATTGGTGTTTGGCCGAACATATTAACCGAGTGAGTAGTGAGTACCCATACTATTGTCTTTAGAGATACTTCAATTAAGAGGTCTCAAATTAAATTTTGAGAGGATGGAGAAGATGTAGGGGTGTGGAGGATTATCATCCGATACGTAGTTCAAGATGAATTAGTCTTCTCATTGGGGGCGAAAAAAAGAAAGAAAAGATAGCATAGATAATTAATAATTAACCCAAGGTTACGTTTATTTTTGGGATTTGCCACCCTTTATTAGATTTAAAATGACAAATTTTTCTTTGTTTCAGGCCAAGAGATAATTTTTATTAATTAGTTTCCTTAAGTCATGCATGATGAAACATGCATGCTATTAATTAGTCGCTTCAAACATATTAAAAGTCATCAGATTTTATTTATATATTTTCATTGGCTACAACTTCTAAGCGGATCATGAAACTAGTATATTTTATCATTGCTTAAACCGCATGTCTTATTGATGTTTTGTAGACATTTATTCGTTGTTGGCTTTCTCTATCGGTCTGGGACATTAAAAAATTCTCCTTGTAAGATAAGCGAGGGACATTGAAAAAGTCTCCCATGGGAAAGAGAGAACAGTTTTTTTTTTTTTTTTTTTTTTTGTCGTGGGAAAATAAAAAATGTAGTATGAATTGCGCAACACATCACAATGAAGATATTTTTATAGACATTTGCTCCAAAACAAATATTTTTTTTATTTGAATATAAAGAATATTTTAAAATCAATTTATGGGTTAATTAAAAGTACATTTTTTTTTCCAAACAATTTTAAGAGCCCCTCCACTCTGATGGAAATGCATTCAAAACCTATGCGTTATTACCATAAAATTTCTGGATAGCATGAGTATTTTGCATTTTATAGGATGAAATTAGTTACAGCCCCAGTACCTAAAATTTCTCTATGTCCAGACCATCAGTCTTAGGCCCATATGGAAACATTTGAAACTTGACTTGGCCTTATTTCCATCGAGTGAACAACCAAGGAACTTACTTCGTTATCAGCCATTTTTCAACAGTCAAAATCTATTGCACAAATTAATTAGTTTCTGGTAAGATGTGATCCAGCCCATCAACGCACGAATTTATTTAAACCCAAATCCATCACCCCCTAAAATCATCTTGTTCTTCTACTGAGATCAGGAGCCTTTATTTTCTTCTCTCTCTCTCTCTCTATATATATTTTCACAAATTCTTTTTGTTTACTGGATCTCATTGAAAAAATCTTTCAGGCTTCAAACGTAATAAATTAGTAATGGTGGTTGTAGTGCGACTACGTGAAAAGGATACAACTTCCCATAAAAGGTGTTTATTTAACCATAAATGTGTAGTAGTATAAAAAATAAATAACGCTAGAAGGAGGGTTTGAACCTCCGACCTTGTGGTTAACAGCCACACGCTCTAGCCAACTGAGCTATTCCAGCTTATTAGTCGGGTTATGAACTGAACAATATCCCTACTGTGTACCACACACAATCTACTTTATTACTCGGACAACTACGAGGACTCCTATCATTATTATATACAGTACCGGGTGCCTTCAGACTTTCAGAGTTGAGGCCAAACTCCAAAATCGGTAGCTATATATAAAATCAACAATTCCTTTTAAATTTTTAATTGAATATTATACTTTTACTACAATGCTAATATTATAATATATATACCAAAACTAACATGTGAATCTATCCCACTAATATTTTTTTCTAAAAAAAATTAACAAAAAGATTCTTAGAATTTTTAGTTATTATTAATTTCTATTCACACCACATATAATTATAAATATTCTGTAAAATAAAATTATTTATAAATAATATTTTGCTAATGCTACTATTATCATAGTATAGGTTAATACGGTCAAAATAAAACTATTGTTCTCATCATGCATCTTATCTACTCATGTAATATAAATTGATTTTATTTGAATAAAAAACTTTAGACAAAAAATTCCGAAATATTATAAGAATTATACTATGATAAAAAATTTAATACATTGGAATTTCGTAATATTAAAATTTATCAATTTTTATTTTCTCTCCAACTTTTACAAGAGTTTTTAACTATAAATATTTATTAATGATAAAAATTGAACTTTTTAAAAAAATTATTATATTATTTATTATCATTGAGGCATTCAAAGAGATGTATTCATAAAAAAAGAAAATTATGAAAGAGTATCTTATAATATTTGCTGGTATTTATAATCATATGGGAAAGAAGGGTGATAGCTACATTGTGGACTTGCATCAATAGAGGATAATTCTTGACACAACATATTTATATTTTAATATATTTTAATTTTATTTTTATCAAATAACTAAATTAACTTAAATTTTAAAAAGAAAATTCAAAAAACAAAAAATTGGTTAAAAAAATTGCCAACATGCATTACAATAGAATGTGGGGAGCTCTATTTTCTTCTTCTTCTTCTTATTCTCCCTCTAAAAGAATGGCAAGAAACTTTATTGTAATAAGTATTTCAATTGCTAACCGTGTTTATAGATAAATCAATGAAAGAATCAGTTTGTTTATCTATATATGAACTACTATTACTATTATATACGGAAAGATAATTAAAATTTGTGTTTCAAATTTTTATTTTATTTCATTTAAAACTTATTTTCTATATTTTAAATCAAAAAAACTAAAAAACTAAAACGAGTGGTGGTATTCTTATTCACGGATCGTTCACTCTCACCTATTTCTGCTATGGACTAGGATCGTTGTACATTGCACCAATTCCTTCTACCCTTTGAACTCGTCCACCCTTTTATCTCTCGCTCACCTCTCTGTCTGTCATTGTTTTGACTCCCTTCTTTCATCTTTTTTTATTTGTTTACATAGCCATCGAGTTTGCTTTGTCGTTCGCTTATTTACGTGTTTTAGATGTTTACTTAATTGTTTTTTTGCTATTTTGTCCTACTATCGAGTTATGTTTGTACCCTCATTTGCTTGGCTATTTTTCACTAATTTTGTTGGCAATTTTGTTTGTTTCTTTATTCTTCTAGCTAGCACTTAATGCTCGCAGATGATGCTTATGAACCATTCTTTCTTTTCTTTTCTTTTTTCCCCGTGAATGTTTCTATCTCGTAGCACCTCACGAGTGCCTTCAAATATTTTAGGCCTCATGAATTCATTTGTAATGTGATTTTTATTTCTTTTTGCTACCCTAACTGTAAGGGCTCTTCTTTTTAGGTGTTTTCGCATCCCTTTTAGTTAGGTTTTGATCCTTGAAAATTTAATCAACTTTTTGTGTCATTGGGTTGTTCCCGATGCATCCAACTCGGTTTCTTTGCTTG